GGGGGGGGGGGGGGGGGAGAGAATATGAGAGATTGAATCGCTTGGTGTTCAGACGGACACCTTTTTCAGCCTTTGTTTTTCTTACTGCAGTCCGGAAAAGAATATGGGGGAGGGGGTGGTGGAGCAATACAGAGATAGATAGAGAAAAAGGAAGAAACGGAAAGAATATGTTTTTTTTAGTTTTAAATTTCTCTCTCTCTCTTTCTCTCTCTCTCTCTCTCTCTCTTTCTCTCTCTCTCTCTCCCTCCCTCCCTCTCTCCATTCCCCCACCTCTCCGTGTAGTGTCCGCGCGTCTCTAGGGGCAGCTGTGTTTCCAAGGAGGGGCCCCCGTGCCGGCATCTCAACGGGCCCTCCTGTAACACCAAACAAGTCCGGAACGCCCGGTCAGACGTACCCGACTCGCTGTTTGGGGAAGAAACAAACCTGGATGCGAAATGCAGCCCGCCGAAAACAATCAAAGACCCAGCCTCGTAGCCTTGGCGGGCTTTTAGCGGGAAAACGGCAAAGATTTCCGTGCTTTATTGGTGCTTTTGGAAGTTGGACATCTCTGTGCTCTTAGTAGTTGTAGTCTTGCCCCCTGATGACCTTGTTTCTCCCCCCCCCCTCTCTCTCTCTCTCTCTCTCTCTCTCTCTCTCTCTCTCTCTCTCTCTCTCTCTCTCTCTCTTTAGGCTGAGGCCTTGGGAACGGGAACTTAAAGGTGATCGTGGAAGTTAATTCTAATGTATAATGTTGACTAGTTTGGTGTGAGAATTTGCATTATTTGGCGTACCGCAAGAATCCCGTGGAAATTCTCTTGTTTTGTAGTCAGAATACTCTTCTTTCTCTTTCCGTGGACCTACTTCCTTCCTTCCCCCCCCCCCCCCCCCCCCCCCCACACACACACACAAACTATGTTTTTCACTCTCCTTACGACATAACCGTATTTCATACGCAAATAAATCTCTCTAGACGCTACATTATAATATATTATTGAGAGGACTGCCCGCCTGGCGTTTTTCAATCCGCCCCTTGCTTTTCTTGTCGTCTGCGATGGAATTTCCGTCGTCTTCCGGACCAGGAGATCCCCAGATAGCCAGCTCACTCTGGTACACCGAGCACGCGAGTCCCTAATGACGTCCCGTACCCCCATCCCCCCTCCCGCAGCTCTAGGGATCCCGGGGATATGCGGACTTGCCTGGCGTTGCTACTGACAGTACGCCGAGAGGTCCACGCGCCGACAAATTGACCTTAGCCCCGGACTCCCCTGGTCCCGTCTGCTCTGACGTGAGAAGACAGTAATTTTGCCTCCACAGTAATTTTGCCTCCACTGAAAGACACCGCACCGTGAACTCCTTTTCGTGTTATACAAGGCTAGTGGTTCGAATCCCTAATCGGGTGATCCTCTTTTTGAAATGTTTGAGATTTTTAAAGCTCTCCCGCCCTCTCGGAGATAGACATTAAATTCGAAAGCGTCACCTCTTACAGCATAATAACCACGCAGCTGTAAAGAGAGGCGGTAAACGCAATAGGTACAACACCAGCCAGTCTAGCGCGGTCCGCAAACTATAAACCCTCATGATGTTACCAAGTCTCCTACTGCTGCCAATTCTAGGAGGCAGCCCTTGTGATGGTGACTCCCAGTGACCACTGCTGACTTCTAATCTTTAATAGTCTCAGTACATTTTTGTTGTTGAGTTCCTCGCAGCGACTGACACTTTTACTACTTTTTCGGGCCCCTCATGATTCGAATGAGGCCATGCGTTGTGCTGAAAATCGGTAAAGTGGAGGTGGAACTCGGCGAGTGAGGGGAACAGAGGTTACCAGATAATGTTTTCTAAGTAAACATCGTCCAGTGTACACATGTTTTCTTTATGCCGCAGATCGTAATGTCCCTCGCGACTCGTAGGCTCATGAGTAGGGTTGTCACGTCTCCAGGTTTTGTGCAAACCCCGCGAAATGATCGGTTGGATGCATGCTCTGATCCGGGTAAAAAGCTTCTTGACTTCCACAACATTACCTCTGGGAACACTTAGCTAATTTGGCACCGTTTCCGCGGGTGACTTTAGTAGCGCATATTAACATTGCTATGCTTGGCCAAATTCGCGTGGACAGGGGAAAAGAAAATCGTGATTTGGGCGTTTAGTGAGGGTTTCTGCAGTTCTGAGTAGAGGTATTAACATTGCTTTTATGGTCAGATGTCCCTTAATACTTCTCAGTGCAAGTTTTCACGGAGACTGACCATGCGGCAAAATGGACATGGGGAGAAAATATGACGCGCAAATGATTCGCATCACTTCTTATCGCGCTCTCGAGGGGAAAGTGCGTCGTCGTGGTTTTGCTCTCGGTATCTTGATAGAAAGAACTGGCAAGATCGGCGTTCGTAAGTAAAGATAGGTAGGTAGGACTCATCGCACTGGCGGAGAGAAGTGACAGGCCTTTATCACGGAGATCTTCTCCCCTGAGCGAAACAGCTGACACTTCCTCCTTGCCCGTGCCACCCCGCTCCACCTTAAGTGTCCAGTTTTGTTCACCGTTACATGACCTTTTCCTCGCCGAGACGTGCACGCTGGCTATGGTCTGCATTGATGAGAACAATGACGATATGATGCGGCACGGAATTCCCCGACAAATTCCTGACTTGCGGTTATGTCATGGCGCGTGACGTCATCCGGGTTGGGTGGCCAGGTGTCACCTCGGGGCGGTGACGTCACCAGATGGACGTCGGCGATAATGATGGCTGTGGCCATGTCGTGCCTATCGAGGGCTGCCAACGGGCGGGTGTGTTTTGCTAGTGTACCTCTTCTCGTGGCATCCGCTCAGTCCCGGGTTTTTGTTGATCCTACGATTTTGCTCCACGTCCGGCGTAGCGCTGCGCTCAATCCCATACGGAGATTACGTACATTTCTTTTCTTCTTCTAAGATTGTTACGTGTGTGGTTTAGAAGTGCCACTGGTGCGTTTGTTTTGGCAGATTTTTTCTTCTTTATTTTTTTAATATGTTTTTTTGTTTTGTTTTGTTTGCCTTATATTGCATAATATGTTATAAGTGTTCTTGCACTTCGTACATCACGCTGTATTGCCATGCTGTCTCGTCGTTTGTCAATATTTCACACCGCAATTACTAGTCCAGAAAGATTTTTTTTCTGCGTCACCGTCGCGCTTTTTTGTGGTTAATGGGCTCTCTGGTGTAGTCTGGTTCGTCTGTTCCACTCTTGAAAACGCCATTCTTTCTAGTTGTAAGTAGCCGTTGTGGTCGTACATTTGGGACTGATCTGTGACGAATAGCGTCGTTACGGTAATGAGAAGTCACGAGAGGAGACATTAACTAGTACCGTCTTCCTCCCGCGAGAAGTTCGGCCGGGCGTGAAAGTGGTCAGTCATCGGAGTGGTCAGTCGTCGAGTGTCGTGTCTGGTGCGTCCTCCGTTGCCTCGGGCGTGGCAGACGGGACTTGAGACACGCGCAAGAATGCGGAAAACGCGATAATACGATAAAGTAGGTCCGCGCGCGGACAGATCGGGGCGTAATCCGGGGGCTCATCGACTGCTAAGCGGAACTTATTTACAGGCCCTAATGAAAACATCCTCGGGTTATCGGCTCTTGAGCTCCTCGGCCGACACTGACCGCGTCCGGCAGCTGTCCATACCTGGCCCTCCGCCTGTTGACCCGACGACTTAACTGTGCGATGACCACTAGATGGCCATTGAGCTTACTAACGGTAAATGTGGGCACGTTAGCTCTTTTTGAGGGTCCGCATTATTGGAAAGTACTATTTTCTTACGCATAATTTAGTTTGTACATGTCCTTTGTTAATATGATGCAACTCTCAAGAGGGCGCCACTGATAGCTACTACTTTTCCCCCTTTTCTTTTCCTCTCTTTATTATTTTTCTGTCCGTTCTTTTTTTTTCGGTACTAAATTACGATTATTTAAGTCGATACATGTATTATGTGTCTCATTTTTCAACTACTCTCTAGAACTTTGATATAACTTTATCAGTGGCAAAGACTGGATCGTGGCCTAAAAAGAAACATGACATAAAATAGAGAATGGCATTACTTTTTATCAAATGTAACTTGATTAGGATAGTTTCACTGAAATTACAGTAACGCATTTATTTACAAATTGGCATTGTGTTTCTCTTTGAAGTATGCGGCAACTACATAACAATACGGAGTAACGGGTTAAAAATCAGGACGCTGACACAACACAAATTCATGATAGTTGTATAATGAACGAATTTGTCAGCACTTGTGTTTGGAGTGGATCTATATTACATATCTATCCGCCATTTCGTCTAGACAGCTCCGTCACTCCTCATCAATGCAAGTTCCATTTTCTCCGCTCACAGACATTCCTGGGATATTGAGCGTTTCCGACCTGTATGTCGTTTACTCTCCAAAACAACACGTCACAAAGGCTTCGTAATCTGTGTCACCTACATTCGACGAGTATCTTTGTTACGTTGCTAATGGCGATGTACCCATTGATCTTCAGATAATACGATCGGACGAAACGTTTTAAAATCCTTTCTTTGCTGCAACGCATTGTGTGGAAGGGTTGAGAGTCGGATCTATTTAGGTCTATTGATTAGACTAACGACACTCCCCCGCACGTCCCACACATAGCACGCGCGTCTTTTGTTGCGTTTTTCAGGATTGTAGGAGGAGGAGACATTGTTGTTATGTGTGGCAATTTGCAAGCCATTGTTGTACATTTCCTTCCCTACTAAATAATGCATTGCGGTACTGTATATTATATTGGGGGTTTTGTTGTTGTTGTTGTTTTTCTCTGGTCGCTCAGTAATATGATGGGCCTTGGCCAATTACTCAAGCGCATTCCGTGACGCACACACATTCTGTCTGACATACACACTCGCTCTCTCACACAAACACGTTTGGGTTTATTTTACCGGACATGTTGTGGAGACTTTTTCCACTTTCTGTCTGTCTCCCGCTTTCTATCTCTTTTCCTGTCCTGCTGTCTCCCCCCTCTCTCTCTCTCTCTCTCTCT